TATTTAGCTACTCTTTTGGATATTGTGTCTTGGAAGTTTCTAGTGCTCAAATAGGGATTAAATTCTCTTGTGGTTAAAATGGCTAAACAAATTGTTAGCCTTTTTGAAAGATCTTCTTTGCTTTTCTCTTCGTAGTCTGAGATGCTTCAAGAAGCTGACATTTCCAAGTTTAAATCTGCCGTGCAGAGCTCTCAGGTAAAGAACCACTCCGGATTTTTTTCTATACTAACATTTGCTTTTATTAGGAATTACCTATTTAGGTTCATCAATGACTTTCAGAGTCCATTAACTGCTGAAACTTTTTAAGGTGAATGGATTGATTGGATTCATGTATTGTAATAATGCATAATGTGCATAAACAATTAAGACGTACAGAAAAGAAAAGGTTCTGTGAAGATTGCCCAGGAGAAGGGCCCAAAAGGGTCGTATCAAAATGCATCATCTTTCAAAATGAATCTTCATCCATCCATCAGAGAGTTGCTTTTGTATCTTCAATTTTTATAGTTATAATGGGACTGTGTGCAGATGTGTTTTAGAACATAAACTTGAGTGGTAATGTTAACAATTTAGTGCTGTTTCGAGATATGGTTTTAAATCTCATATTCACTTTAAAAGTTATGGGTCTTCAAAACAAGCTATCAGTTTCCAAATGGGATTGCCTCCTTATGCGTTAGTCATACTGAGTCGAATGTGGATATGGAGTGGAACTAAGAACTAGGATGGTTTTCTGATGCTTACCTAAGCTACTCTATGATTATTAAGAGTTGAACATCACATGTCATGCCTCGCTCTAGAAAAAGAAATAAAGATGTCCCTTTTGCAATGCATGTAAGTATGTAATAAAGATGTGCCTTCTGCAATGGCTATATACAAATATGATTTTGTTTACTTAGTGTACACATTACATATTATATCAACGTCTTTTTGTTGTTCTAAATTATGTGTGTCAACCAACCAAATTGTTTTGACGGTAGGAACACCATTTTTCTTTGCTGCAACGTGAGACTGAAAAACTCCTGAATGACATTGAGAAGATGCGAAGTGAACTGAAGTATGTCTTTTGCATCCATTATATTATAATAATGTGTCAGTCCATCTTTTATTCTTCCTATGACGTTGATACACATGCTTAACAGATATGAGGTTGATAAGCTCACTGCTGGCCAGCGTTTAGACTTAAATCTGGAGAGAGGGTATGGGGAAAAACCTTATGATCATATTTCGGTTACTATCATTGTTGTAATTGATTCTAATGTTCTGTCATACTGGTTGCATTCTTGTTGCAGACGCATACGCGATGAGCTTGCAAAGCAAAATGCAGAAACTACTAACCTTACAAACAAGCTTGACCGAGTGCGTTTTAATTCCTTTGATGAGCCATACCCTGTCTAATTTGACTCTTTTAAGTTACTCCTCTTTCCATATTACTTGCCCCATCTGCATTACTATGTTTGTCAGACTGTCAGAGTACAAAGTTTTTTCTCCCCTAATAACACATAAATTAGCGTTAGTAATTAAAACTTGCATATTTTGAAACAACAGTAAAAGTTCTGTTGAACCGCACAATTCAAACTTGAAAATGACAAAAAATGGTTAATAAATTTGATAATAGAAGTTCAAAGACAACTAATTTGGAAAGGTATTATTAAATACAACTAGTGTTTAGTGTTATGAATTGGTCAAACTGCATCTTTTATAGTTTTTCTTTTAATTTCTTAGTATTCTTTATTGAATAAATAGTCAGTTTACAATTCGTTTTGTAATTTTTTATGTAGTTTATAAATATTTAGTTTATTTGCATATATTAAATTTTCAAAATAATGAATGGACTCATAAACAGGAAATACATGAACTAAGGGCCCAACTTGAAGCGGCAAAGTATGAAGTAATCAAATATTGCATAGGAACTCTTGTTTCCATCTCTGCTGTCGGCCTTGCAATAGCTCGTTTGTATTTGTAAGCACAAGGAATGTTATTTGCAATTCTTTGAGCCTCTTGGAGGTGCGCTGAGTGCCTAGAAGATAACAACTTTAGAATTTGACATTCACAGTTCATACTTCTTGGGGCTTGATTTTTTAAAAATCCCCTCTTATGGAACAATTGTAATCTTTTATTCTTCCTATAATAGCAAACTTTAAAGTTTGAAAGAACCACTGTAATCTTCTTGAACTAGGCAAAAGGCACATTATTTAAGCAATATATTGTTTTAGTTGTCAATCCTCTTCAAAGGCTCAAACTATGCAGGTGTGTGCTTGTGTGTGTACTGTAAATCTTAAAATTTAATGGCAATTCAATTTGGATTTAAAAAATCCACTATACTCATTAGCTTGACTTAAAGCCTTAAAGGACATGCACTATTCGCTCATATCTAGTAAGAAAGAGTGTTTTTATTTGAATGAATGCTTCTGTTTTCTTCTTTTAGTTTTTATTTGGTGTATGGCATATGATCTATCCACAATTTGGTCCACTGTAGTGTATATGTTTCTGAACTATTTTGGTTTGGAAATAGTACAAGTATTGTTGAGTTAAAATAAAAGGGTGAACAGAGCAAACTGTTTTGGTTGATCAATCCCACATTTTATAGCAATTTGAAGTTTTATCCCACATACTTTGAAGTAGGGGTGAACCGGGACCGGGTCGGGCCGGGCTCCAGGATGGGCTTGGACGGGCTGACGGGCTCCGGGTCCAATATATTCAGTCCCGGTACCGGTCCGGGTTAGTACCGGGACCGGGTCGGGTCAGGCTCAAAATAATTTTTTTAGTCTTTTCGAATTAATTCCAACGCCCCACCCCAAAACCCCCAATCCGCCCGGCCACCAAGCAACCAGCCCTATGCCAAAAAATTAAAAAAAAAAATTAATTGGGCCTGGCCCGGCCGGACTGGTCACCTAAAACTAGAGCCCGTAGCCCGCTTGAATATATACCGGGTCGGGTGACTGGGCTTGGTCCCAGACCTGGTTGACTGGGTTGGGCCGTCCTAGTCCACCCCTACTTTGAAGTGTAAAGTTAACGACAAGAGAAACCTCTTTACGAGTTATGCCGCTACTATCTGAATCTTTTGAGTTTTGAGTTCAAATAATTCATTTAGTGTTTATGCATTTTGGTGTTAGTTTCTTCTAAAAGTTACTCCGTACTACGTACTCCATCCGTCCTTTATAATTTTGACAACTTTCCTTTTTTGATTGTCCCAAAAACTTTGTCATTTTCCTTTTTAATCAATCAATTTGTAGTTCTTGTTATTTCTCTCTCCTCTGCACAAATATCTATCACACACTTTTACTTTATTATTCAACATTGCCGCGCAAGGCAATGTTGAAGTTCTACACTTCAAGTCGGATTTTACATATTCTATTTTTTCTTTCTATCACCCAAAAAATCAACACTACGCGACGATGCCAGTCATGTGACTATTGAATACGGAATTAGTTAAATTGTCATACTTAATTGAACTGTTATATTCTGAATAGTTTATTACCATTCCATATTTTTTTCAATAAACAAAATGACAAGAATTCATATCTAATTAAATTGTAAACAATATTATTCATATATTTATTATATACAAAGCGAAGTGGAAAATCAGTTGAATTTCTCGTTAAAAAATGTCACAATCAAGGGCAAAAATTTATAGTGTTAAAGTATAGTTGGGGACGAGACTAATTAAATGGGTGTAAAACATTGCTACTTATTTCCAATGTCCATTTCACATGACAATAAGTTGTGGGACCCTCGACTAAAAAAATCCTTCATTTTAAAAACATTTATAACTTTTTCATTTGATTTTTATTTTTTATGAAAAATATATCAAAATTCATAACTTTTTATGATCTTTCATATGACACCCATACCACATACATAAAGTTAAAAAAATGAACTATTGGAGTTTTTGGACCGATTTTTTTTTTCCTTAAGTACAACGAAGTACTAAAATTAAGATCATATGGTTGTTTTTCCACTTATTCACTCAGCACAATTGTTTATAAATTTCATCCTTACGATTATTACTATAATCAATTTTATTCAAATATTTTTTACGAAAATTATGATTTAAAAACTCGTACATTCTCAACGTAAATTAAATAAATATGGAGTTTAGTTTTGTGTTATTATTATTACTCCAGACCTATTTTCGGAAAAATAATGGAAAGATGTAAAAACCGTAACCGTAAGATCTTAATTTTAACACTTCAATCTCAATTTTATCATTTGAATCTACTTAAAAGAATTGTGAATCCAAAAAGTTTCTGATTTTTTTAAAACATTATAGGTACAATATAGGCGTAATATGAAAAAATTTAGGAATAAAATTTGATGGTCAAGAAGTTCTCATACCGAGATTGACACTAAGACCTTCATAGGGGGGATTTTCAATTCCATGGAATCTAATAGGTTCTATTATATTCTACTAAAATCCACTAAAAGCTCCCTCCTCTGTCCCTTAAAACTTTATTAAATTGGACTGTGATAGAAAATAAAAATGTAAAACATTCGTTTGAGGTTTGTGTTGACGAGATAAATGGTACGAAGTAGTAATCACAACTTAATTTGAGCACATGGAAAAATATCGAAAATTTTGAGACAATTTAAAAAGGAATGATTAAGCTTCAATGTAGGGGGACATAACTTATACTCTTATACAAGTACAAGTTTTTAAACTGAGGAGCGTAGCTCATTTGGTAGGAAGAGGGTGTCACAATGGAGATGTTTCAGGTTCAACTCAAAGTAACGACCGGAATAAAACTCATTCTCTTTCAATCTCAGAGATCTTATCGACCAGCAAACCGGAGACGGGCGACCACGGTCCCAACCTTACCAGCACCTGAGGTGTACTAATCAATGAGACCCTGAAGCCTACTTTATTTTATGAAAAAAGAATCAAATTTTTTGCTAAAACTGTCCGGATTCCGCGGACCTGGTGTGATTCTTTTTGCTAAAGCCTAGATGGCCAATTTTACTACTCGTAATAAAATTCTCCGTACAACGTACAAACTAGATAAAAACAATTTTGTGTATTTCGCGGAGAGCAGGTGGGGCCATGAGCATGGGACGTGGCCCGTGGGTTTAAATATGGGGCCGGGGACTTTGTTCTTCCCATTTGCCACCCAAATTCTTCCGCTCGCCGGAACCACTGAACCAGGATCCTACCATCGCTCTTCATCCACGAGGCGTATTATTCGTATCAAACCTCGTCGGAGTTTAAATGGAAGCAATTAAAAGGCAAGCATCGTGGCTCAGGGAACAGGTTGCTCGCCAACAGCAAGTACGATATCACTCCGACTCGCTTTTCCTCAGTACTAATCGTCAATTTGTATATGCACGTGCCTTTGTGTTGCAATCCGATTCTTGCCTACATGGCCATGTTTATCTTATTCTAATTGCTTTATGAATTTCGTTATCCGCTGATGTCTTGTCCATGCAAATTTGCCTATTGTTTTGCCGTTTATTTGTTTTATGTATTTAGTTTATGCATTTTTGCTTAGTTCGATTCACCATGTATCTATGCGGCCTCATTGAATATTCATGGTTCTACTACAATTTCGATATTTATTAGTTCTTTCCCAGGATGTACACACATATGTGCATATATATGGCTTATTGGTGGTAAGTGGTAACTCTTAAAGTAGGGATTGCATTGGAGCTCAGTGACTACTTTGTTAATGTTGTGATGCTTTATGTGCAGCCATTATGAAGCTTGTCTGCTCGTATTTGGTGGCACCAATCTGTGTTCCGTTTGATGGTCGATGGACCTTTTATCTTGCAATATGGGGCTGGGGTTGGATTTGGTGATTTCAAGATAGTTAATGCTTTGATATTTCTTATTTTTAATTTTCTGTGTTTTGTCGCAGGCTGTTCTCAAGCAATTTGGAGCTGGTGGGTATGGAGGATCAGATTATATTGTGACTGATGAAGCTGAACTCTTACAGTATCAGAAACTGGAAATGCTTTATATATCCACCAGGGCTGCTAAGGTGTGTTGCATCATATAGATAAAATAACTCTTTGTTAGCTATATTGTGTCTTCAATCTGCGTCTCTGATTTAGATCTCCTCGCTTTATTGCTTCATCCTTTTGATTTTTGGATTATTAGCTAAATATATCCTCAACCATAATCAAATTCACAAATCTATGTTATACTTTTACTATTATTTAGAAAAGACTCAAACTTCAACTTTTCTCACAGTTGCACTTTCAATGAATGAATTAGTAAAACTTAAGAGGAAAATCATATTTATATTTCAGATTTTTCACTTCTTTCTAGTTTTAAGTTTACAAACTTGTATTGCTTATATCTTATTGGCATTGATAAAAATGTGTAGTTTTGAAAAAAAACAAAAAAGAAAAGCATAATTCTTAAAAAATATGAAGTTTGAGTCTTTTTTGGATAAAAGTGAAAGAATAGGATAGATTTGTGAATTTGATGATAGTTTGCTATAAAATAAGCCAATAATCCTTGATTTTTTATATTAAAATTACATTTCCTGCCATTGCCATTTCAGCATTTACAAAGGGATATTGTTCGTGGAGTCGAAGGCTACATCTTTACTGGGTCCAAGCTAGTTGAGATAGGTTATTTTTCAAATCTTCAGTGTCTTTGTTTAAATTCACTAGTACAGGGATCACATGGTCATAGGCGAAATGGTATCTCTAACAGGAACTAAGCTATCGGAAGACAGCAAGAAATATGGGTCTGGCAACACATGTACTAACCATATTACGTTATCAAGAGCTGCATTGTGTTTTTCACAAGCTCTTGCTCACATGGAGCAGGAACGCGGAAATCTTTTGAAATCCCTTGGCACACAGGTTATTTAATATATGTATATCACTATTTTTATCATGCTCCAATACAATTCCTGTTTTTAATACTAAACACATTACGTCCAAACACGGCCTTTTTGGGATGGAGAGTACAAAAGATTTGAAAGGGAGCATTGGCACATCGTTTAAAGTTTTTCTATGTGATCGAGAGGTCATGAGTTCAAGTTTTGGGAGTGACCTCATCAAAATGAAAAGGGAGGACCTGCCCCCTAAGGCTTGATGGGACCCTTCCCCGGACCATTACTGTGCAGGGGCACCAATGTGAACTGTGCTTCTCTCTGGAGTTTAAAAGATTTCCAATGTTGTAAAAGCTTATGATAAGTAGTTAGAGAGGCTGAAGTTAATCTCTTTCTAGCTATTGTTTTCCTTATAATATACCCTTTTGTGTGCTTGGGTATAAAAGGAACAACCCAGGCTAAATGAATTTGGGGTCACACTGCACTGTCTTTGACAACTTGGCAATGCCCATCATGAAAATTTTAATTCCATAAAACTTTGATGTTTTGTGTTCGTTTTGAGGCGTGGGTTCAACTTTTGCTATATTATTGGTAAAAACGTTTTTTTGGAACTGTTATCCCTTTGTTGTAAAAAGTATTTGTTTTCTTTCCCTGTAAACTTTATTTATTGTTAATCCACTGCATTGGGAAAAAGTTAAGACAAAATAACTTTGAATAATATCAACTATCAGTTGTCAACCAACTATAATACGTACTTTGAAAATAATTATCTCATAACCCAACTATTCGAATATATAACAAAATAATACGGAGTCACTTTCCAACATCTAATCCGGTAATTCAAATCATACAAAACTGTTAGCAAACCTCCAAACAAAGCTTGTTTGATTGTTGAAATGTTTAATATCATTTTGTGATAAATTCAGTGACCATAATATAGGTTAAAAATAGCTTCATGTCACTTCTCTATAAATGCTTAAATAGTTGCGTTATGAAATAGTTATATCTAAAGTATCAAGTATGTATTGGTATTGGTTGATCGGCGATAGTTGGTATTATTTAAAGTTATTTTCCCAAAACTAATAGTTGGTTGGTGCCTTCTTTATCAGGTTGCAGAGCCATTAAGAGCTATGGTAATGGGTGCTCCATTGGAAGATGCACGACATTTGGCTCAAAAGTATGACCGGATGCGACAAGAGACAGAAGCACAGGTACTCAAATGAACATTTTAAAATGTGCTATTTTCTGGTATTTGGATGTTATTTTGTTTCATTCAATTAGATTAGAGACTGTTTCCTTTTAAAGCAAATGTATTAATCCACAAGTGTCAAACCCTCTCTACATTGTCGATGCACACAACTACACAAGTGGTGAATTTTATAATTCTCTCTCTGTACACTGGGTTCCCATCCTGCTCCAACTCTAAAGGACCTATTGGAGCTCGGGGAATTCTACAGAAAGGAAATAAGAGGGAAAATGAGGTGAAACTTGGAAGGGAACAAAGTGTAGGAAAATAAGACAGGTCTAAGTTCAAAGAGTTTTATTCATATTTCTGTTTAAACTTACGTAGTATTTATTTATTTCTATTATATTAAGATTAAAAAATCTAAATATATATTACGGAGTAGTATATCTATTTTAAAAAACATTTAGCTTATTCCATTTTCGTTTGTGTTTTGCGAGGTAATACCAAACATAAGAAATAAATTGCCTTGTCATTCCCCCCTTTTGTATCAAAACATACCCTTATGTATTTTACCTGAGCATTTTTCTCTAGTTGATCCTTTTGCAAATTCATTGTTATCAGGATTTCTATTGGTTATGTTGTGTCTACTACTTTTACCATCTATTGATTGTTGGATGACAAAATTTTGGCTACATAATCTTTAATTTTAGCATGCATATAACCTAGACAGACACTTGAAGTATCCAAACGACAAGCAAAATTAAGGGATATAATAGGCAATCATGACATGGAGATGAAGCTGGAAGCAGCAGAAGCAAAACTGCAAGATCTGAAATCTAATATGACTATACTGGGAAAGGAAGCTGCTTCTGCTCTAACTGCTGTGGAAGCACAACAGCAGAGGCTTACACTCCACCGGCTAATTGACATGGTAGAAAATTGTGTTGTCTACTTGAAGTTAGCAAGCAAAATATGCTTAACAAATAAAAGTAGTTGACATTAGTTTTGCTATTTCTGTTAGGTTGAATTAGAACGTGCTTACCATCTTAGAGTTCTCCAGATACTTGAACATTTAGAAGGCGAGGTATTGGCATATTGCTTCTGTCATTTTTCTATTGAACTTTGTAAGGTTATAATGAAGCTGATCGCCTTTTTGGCTATTTAGATGAAGTTAGAGCGTGAAAGGATTGAAGAATCTCCTAGTGTAGATAATTTTCCTCCACCTCCTTCATATGAAGAAGTGAACAGTGTACCTACTTCTCCTATGCAAAATGGGCCCACTGACAGCATGGGATACTTTCTTGGGGAAGTAAGTATTTCTTAACATTTTTGTTTTCTCTTCCTATTGGATTTGAGTGAAGAAATTTAAGGCACTATAGTAGTGGGTGCTTACATTGTTTGACCGCACTGCAAAAAGTTGATGCTGGTATTGTTTTGTTTGAGAAACTGTCTTCTTAAAATTAAGTTGGTGTATGTGTAATAAAATGTTTAACCTACAGTTACAAAAAAAAAATGGATCTGCTAATGGAAATGTCCCCTCTTTTTAGAAGAGGATGTTATATTCCACAAACTCCAGGGTGTGTTTGGCTCCCTGAAAATGCTAGGGCAAGAGGAAAGAAGCTTAGAATTTACTTTCTTATGTTTGGTCTGTATATGAAAATATGAAAATAATAATCTGTATATGATAATTTTTCCTTAAAATCCTGCATGTATATAGATTGCTTATATAATAAAAAAACTAATAAAATAAGTTCGATCAAATATCTGAAATAAGCTTGTTGTGTCTAAGATTTTCTTTATTTTTCACTCAAATTTTATGCGCTTCCAAATTTTGTGTCCGCTTTTATTTACTTTCGTTTTTCTTGTTCCAAACATACCCCCCCTAAAGGATCTAACAAAAATATTTTCGAGGGCCAACACATGAAAGTTTGGAAATAAACAGAGCCCTAATATCTTATTTTCTACTTTGATGTTAGGTGATGTATTCATATCACGCCGAGTCTGATAAGGAGCTTAATTTATCAGTTGGAGATTATGTTGTTATACGAAAGGTTATTAGTCTCCTGTACTCTTGTATCCCAGTTCATCACTATAAGGTCACATATTTGATTGGTCATATTTTCATAAGTTGAGAAATTAAATACTAATGGTCAGATACATTGTCAGGTTTCAAATAATGGTTGGGCAGAAGGTGAATGCAAGGGTAAAGCTGGATGGTTCCCCTTCAGCTATGTAGAGAGAAGAGAGCGAGTTCTTGCGAGCAAGGTCATTCAAGCTCTCTAATGTCTAAACCACCCTCACATCCCCCAGATGTGCCCGGCTTTGCATTCTCCTGTACATTTATTCAATTCTGTGATGTTTTCCAATGGAAAAGGCGGTAAGAAAGTGTCTCCGCGTTGTAGCTAAGCAGAGACAAGGCACTAAAAGTTTGAAATGGTGCGATCCTGGATGGCTAGATGCAAAAAGGCATCAAAGGAGCATGTTTATGTTAGATTAGTTTTTTTTTAAATCTGGTTGATTAATTGAAAATTCTTTCTATCACTTGAGTAGAGTGTATTCCAATAATGAGTATACATACTTCTATAATATGTAGTAGCTTATTTATTGAAAATTTTGCAAGTACATTGAACTTTGCATTTAATTGTTTTGCCTTTTATGTACTCCATATACGCAATAATATAGTACTTCCTCCGTCCTGGTCATTTCTTCCAATTTTCCTTTTTGGACCGTCCAAATTAATTCTTCCAACTTCCACTTTTGGAAAAAATATGTGGTTCACATTCATTCACCTTTTTCTTACACAACTACAATCATACATTTTCACTTTATTCTCACTACCTAAATTTGTGATACCGGTCAAAATTGGAAGAAATGATGGGGACGGAGGGAGTAATACTTTTGATTCCTGTGCAAATCCGAATACGGCTACAATGCCAAGCAACGAGCAGTCTAACTAGTCAAGATTCAAGAAGCCCTATACCGGTGGAGAGAAGGTAGGAAACTTCTTTAAGGATCAATAGTGTACATGTCTATTTTCCACTATTCTATAAACTAGTAGGGAAAAATCCCAAAATAGGAGTAAAAAAGTTTGAAAGTTCCAAAATAGGATCTTCATGTTTTTATTCCCAAAATAGGAGTAATTTCTGCCAAATTTGAAAAATACATGTTTAAAATCTTGTACTGTCAAAACGTGAAAGTAAGTAGTCTTATTTTGTGAACAAAAATATGATAATCCTATTTTGTAATATATAAACGTTTTAGTCCTATTTTGAAATATACAAACATTTTTAATCATATCTAGGGTATGTTCTGTTGGAAAAATGTGTTAAAAATTGCATTAAATGATCATTTTGTGGCAATTTTTTGACTGGGGTCCACTTCCGAGTTGGGTCGGGTCAAAGTGGTTACAGATTGTCTTTGTTAAGGGCTACAATTAGATATATGGTAAACTCAAAACGGATAACGTGTGAATGAGAAATTGATTTTCGAGGTTCACTTGTTGAAATGAAAAAACTCGGAAAAAGGATGAGTTTCTAGTGGGATTTATCCCACATCGGAAAACCCAAGGGATTTTCACCCCCTTATAAAGGGAACCCTCTTTGAAGGAGTTAAGATTCCTACGGGAAAGGCTCTCTTCGCGCGCAGGGGGGTGTCGATGAAATCCCGAAAACGGAGAAGAAAAACCGCAACTTGCGTGCGCGGGTGACCTGCAGACACGAATGTCGTCCAAAAATCTTTCAAAGATACGATATAATTTTTGTTTCTTCCCGTAACGTTTTATTTTTTCCGAGATCCAGAAATGCTCAACGGCAGAACTGCTCCGTCTCTGTTGGCTTCGGAACCAGAAGACCATGAGGTCTTCTGGTGGCTTCCGGACAGAAGAACATGAGGTCTTTGGTGGCTTCCGGGCAAAGGACCATCGAGGGGTTCTGGTCGCCAGTTATCAGCCGTTACAATAATAAATGTCCAACGTTCTTATGCCTTTATGCAGCGTTAAATGGACAGCTAATGGATGATTCAATGCCCAACGGACTGGTCATTGATGTCCAACGTTCAGATCCTTTAACTCTCACATTAACACACCACAAATCCTCATATATATAGCCGGCAGGTGCTTTGCAACAAACACATGTTCCTACACGTTCACAAACAATCATACACGTATTTTAGCTCGAAAAACACCTCCAGTTCTCTGAAAATTACTGAGTGTTCTTCTTTGTTCTCGTTCGCCGGAACTTTCGTTTGTGTGCTCAAACGTTAGTTCGTTAGCCACCGTATCTTGGGAAACGGTCGTTGCAACGCTCCTAGCACCGTGGGAGGCGACAAATACGTTTTAAAGACATCGTGCGTAGCACGAGCTCTGGCTATTTTCTGCTCCAACTATTTTCTGTTTTCTTTAGTCATTTTAATTAATTAATTTTTTATTAATTGTTTTCTTTGTTTTTCGAAACACACCCTACATGTTCTATTATAAGCGTGAAGATCTTAGGTTGCGTTTGGATCAAGTGTTAGGAAGTGCTAGTAATTACCTCCCCAACACCTCAAATGTGCACTTCTTTAACACCCCAATTTGGAGTGTATTGAGGTGTAGGGCAATTAATACTCTTCTCATTCCCGTTAAAAAATATAAAACTTTTCACCCTTCTCATTTGCTCACTTCTCTAATTCAACATAGCCCTCTCAAGTCCTCGTCTGCCTTCATCTATCTTTTCTGCAGCTCGCATGAATTGCTCCTAACATAGGGGTTTGCCTCATCTGCACTGCCAGTAAGCCTTTCTACCATGAATATTCAAGGGAGACGTGTAATGCCTGAAGTTACTACACAATTTGGTCATTGAGAAAGGGAGGAAGTTTAGGACATATGCTCTTCCGCCATAAATACGGAGCATTGTTATTTATGTTTCTTTGTTTATTTATGTTTATTTTTTGTAAAAGAAATTTTTTATAGGAGTAAACAAATAACAAAGTAGAAGATTCACAGGGGAAGAAAAAAGAAAAACAGCCAAAACAACCCAACCCGAAGTACACGTGAAAACCCTATCTTAGAAATTCACTTGTGTTTGGGATCTCGTTCTCATGTGATGCGATCGTTGGTGCTTTTTCTTGTAGATTTTTCATTTAAGTGTTAAGGTTTTGTGTAGGTACACAATTTTGTCACGTGACCAAGCGAGCCTTGTTGCATATGTCTTGATTTGTGTTCGCGTCTCATGGATCATCGAACCCTGAAATGGGAGTTCTCTTTTCGCACTCTGAACATGGCCTAGGAATTCATCTCCCGAGTATGACAATATTTTTCGCCAAAAACATCGTCACAATTCATCCCTATAAAACATTGATTGCATGTAGCCGCATCTATCGAAGAGTTTATCTTAGGATTAGCATTATCATCCATTCTCTTAGATTCCGATTTTCCAAACAAGAAGTAACAATTCTTTCAAATTCTTTGATAAGAAACAAGGAAAGCGATTCAACCCCGTTAGTCATGGTAGTCTGAAAGGTATCATTAATGATAGCTAAGTCAGACAATCGCAAAGAACTTCCAGAGTCTTCTACTACATTCAATACCTGAGGTTTCTGAAAAGAGATTGAATGGTCAACATCGGCCTGAAGAAGTGCTCTCGAAATAGAGAGAGCACTATGGTTGGAATAATCTCCATACAGCTGAGGAATGAAGGAGTTCCTCTCGGGGCTAGAATTCATCAAACAATCCCAATATTAAACCTGTTTAAAAGTTGACCTCTTACCCTCAAGTTCTGTCATCAAATTAGTTGCTCTATTAATTCCTTATAGGAAGTGTTTAATTCCCATTCCATTCCAACCTTCTGGGATAAATAAGAATCATAACCTTTCTTGGTAATGCGAAAGAAGCCGCCAAGGAAATTAACATCGTGTAGAATAAGAATGGAACTCTTCAACTCAAGTTTAGAAACAGACAAATTGTCAAATAATAACCTCGAATTGGAGTCTTTCAAGCAGACAGTACTGAGAAGATCAAGTTCATTTGCAGATAAACTATCATTCTTTGATTCTCAAATGCGAATAGAATTATCGTCAAAGATTTTGAAGTTGAATGGTTCACTGCAATTGTCTAATCGTCTCCAGCACAGAGCACAAAAATGACACCGCATTGTAAATTTTATTATGTACATTTACTTTTAACATAATGCACATTTCAATTTCACCTAATGCATAATTCGGCTTCACATTATGCCATTGTGTCGTACCTTTTCCGTTGCACATTTCGATTTAGCGTAATGCACATATCAGTTTCACCTGATGCACATTCAATTTAACAGAGTACAACCTAATAGTCCGAATTCATTCTCATTTCTCTCATAAGATCATTTTCTCATTTGAACCTGATTCTACACAATATACTATGTGAACAAAGTGAAAGACGTGGACTAAACATGGAATTGACACAAAACTCATAGGATCAAAAGTGGAATTAATTCTTGTATTAGTGCCATATAACTCATATTTAAGAAAAAATATAGCACTCGTATTTTTTGTTTCCATACTATTCTGGTTTAAATATGGTTTTAGTCCCTGCAAATATGGCACACTTTGTTTTAGGTCCCTGCAAAATATTTTCCTTGTTTTTCATCCCTGTAATATGCGCTATTTTGGTTTTAGTCCATCTCTAACTCCGAAACAACTCGACTTAGAACTTTTTCTATTGTCGGATGCGTATATAAATCTACTTGAAACATTTAAATTTATTAGTTTATAATTTTTTGAGGCTAATAAGAGAGTTAAAACAATATTAAAATTAATTATTTGCATTTTTAAAATATATATTAAAAACCCTCAAAAAATGAAATTAAATACTTTTTGAATGACATGACAAAGAATTAAAGGATACCTGTTAGTCGGATTGTTTCATTGTCAAGCAGATGTTGTTATCACTAGTCATGGACTAAAAAGAAAATCAACATAAAATTCAGGGATGAAAAAACAAAAAATATATATTTTGAAGGAACCTAAAACAAAGTCATATATATTCGATGATACTTGTTTCATTTAATTGGGTTGACAATTGACATGCAATGTTGGTCCAATTCTACCCTTGTTTGGTGACGAGGTTCATAAAGACCACATGTTGCTTAAGCTCATTCAAGAATTTAAATCGACATAAGGTTCATAAAGACCACATAAGGTTCTTGACATTTGTATCTGTTTCTTCTCATTTCTATGGTTGTTCGATTGTTAGAAATAGGGACAAACAAGAGAGCTGAGCAGGAATTTGAAAACTCAGATCCAGTCTGTTAAGCGGATATTTATAGAGATCTCCACCGCCTTAACCACCAATCAAAAGGCGACACGTGGCAGGAGCGTATCCCAGCACACGTGTCACGCTGAGATCAACATACGGGTAATCATTACAGTTACCTGGGAAGTTGAACAGGTCACTGTAACTGTCACCTCGAATCTCGGGAACCGTCCAGATAGTTGGCACACCAAGAGCGTCAGATCATGAAAGCCTCGGCTGGAACACCCAACATATTTGGTGGGAAAGCAAGGATATTGGTACTTAGAGCACGATTTAATATTCTATTTCGAGCATCCTGTTTAGTAATGAAGTACTAAACTACAATGCATACAACGTAAACTGTAGCCATTTGTAGTCTTTGTATCTTTCTATGTAACTTCAACGTGCGTGATAGAATTCTAATAATGTGTTGGTAAGAATTGAAATAGA